CGGGCTGCTGCAATAGCGGTGTTATTTCTTTTGTTAATTAGCCCTCTCTGTGGTGCACTCTCTCTGCAACAGTAGGAAGCGATCTGACCTTTGGTCCAGACCTCCTGCCGTGAACACATTTGTCTCTGAGCTGGAAATCTTTTCTCTGATGCAGAAACCTCCGAGGACGAGGAAGAGTCGGATTCAGACGACGACCCCGGTTGTGAGGAGAGCGGGCTGGGTCTGCTGGCCAGGTTTGCGGCGAGTGCGCTCCCTGTCAGCTCGGCCTCTTTGAGCCTCCACCACGACAGCAAACACTGCAGCAGGCAAAGCACTCTGGGTAAAAGATCTTACACACAAATGAGCTGTGAACTGATGTGCCCTCTCTCTCCTTTTGTTTTAATGCAGACAGACCCGGTTCACTCTGCTTAAACTGATTTCACACATTCCCCCGATGGCCTTTAACTCTATTGTGGTTTTTTTTGTGGTTGAGCAGATTCACCACCTGAGCATTCGTTCAGGATTTTCTTATTGATTGAAGGTTAAATTTTAATTCATTTCTAATTGTCACAGCAAGGGTGTGTGTAACGATTCACCCTTGAATTATGTATTAGTTTCAAACTGATCAATACTCCTATTCACAGAGTTATTGATTTCAGGCAATCTACCACTTCAGTTCGTTAATGACTGGATGTTTATGGGAGGAGTCTAGTTTTATGCATGTGCGAGAGATACATAGGAAGAGTTTTTACCATCATATGACCCTCTCCTCACCTCCTACAGGTTCAACAGAGTGCGAGTGGTCAGACTCTGGCTCGGACGTGCGGTTAAGGAAGTTCCCTTCTCTGCTGCACGGAAAACGCTCCGCCCCCGAGCTCCCCCTTTTGCCACCAGCGACCCGCCGCGTTGACCAGAGTAGCCCCACCAAGCGAGACGAGGCGCTGCAAGTCAAACGCAAACCTCTGCCCAAATTACGCCCTACGCCTCGCTCACCCCGGAGATTTAGTTTAGACCTCGCCAGCAGCTCTGGGTTCGGAGGTTTCAGCGAGGATGAGGGCTGGAACCGCCGACGCAGCGAGAGGATTTTTCTCCACGATGCCACGGTTTCAGCCTCCACCCCTTCCACCAGTCAGAGCTCCTCGTCCTCCTCCACCAGCTCAGCCCCACCGATAACACCGAAGGCCGTCTCCAGACCGAAGCCCACTCAGCCCAGCAGAGACGGGAAAGACGTAGTGAAAGTATGTCAAGAAGTCACTGAGCTGTTACCGGCTCAGACTGAACAGCAAAATCACACCTTTTCCCCCTCTCTTCTCACTCCACATCTTTTCTACTATCTTTTCGCCCCCTTGTTCAGACTCCTGCTCCCTCGCATCCTTTTTTCTATTGCAATGTTTGCTAGTGTGTGTGTTTAGGAGTGTATGTCAGAGCGCCAGCAGGGTTTCCTTTACTTTAGTCAGTGCAGCACTCCCCTGCTGTCTGTGGCGTGTTGCTGACAAGAAAGGACGACTGCAGGCGGCTTGGATGCACCCCTCCCCCCCCCGTGTGTGTGTGTGTGTGTGTGTACACAATGTGATTCTGCCCAACAGAGCCTCGGTGACATAATTTATTCATATGCATGTTTTTAACTGTGTTGTAAAAACAGAAAAAGAAGCTGAAGGACTCTCCTCTGCCTGTGAGCCCGTCCACTCTGTGCAGTCCAGTCACAGACAGCCCTGCACCGCTGAGCCTCAGCCTGGCACGTAAGAGTCAACCAAAACCCAAGACCAAAGCCAGAGAGGTCAGTATGATGATAAATTTGCTGCAAAGATGCAAACTTAATTATGCTGACAAGGACAAAGCCAGATCTTTAAAGTTATTGGACCTAATAGTGCAAAAGGTACTTTGAGGCTTGGCGTGTGTGTGTGTGTGTGTGTGTGTGTGTGTGTGTGTGTGTGTGTGTGTGTGTGTGTGTGTGTACAGTATCAAAAGGTCTTCAGAAACAAACTAATAGCTTGTGTTGGATTTAACACTTTTGTTTTGTTACTGAGGGGAAGGAGTAAACCTAATTGTGTGATTTCTGCCAAAGTGTTGTATTTCTCACCATCTGCCGCCAGACAAAACTTGAGTTTGCCTTGGAAAAGGAAGCAGAAGTGTGTGCAGGGCTCTTTGTGCTGGTGGAGATCGTTTATTCGACAGCATAAGTGTTGTAATATGCTACTGTTTGTGTGTGAAAAGTTCATTTGTGGTGTGTCAGCCTGGTGATTTGGTGGAGTGCCACAAGTCAACATTAAGTAGAAAAGCCACTGTGTCGCAGGGGGAATCACTCTTGTTCCAGAATAATTTGATTGTAAGGAAAATAACATCATCACGGTTTTTTGGGAATCTAATCAAATCTGCTTGTTTGTGTTGCAGCCTTCCAGGGGTGCGGTGAGCCGGCTGATGGAGAGCATGGCGGCAGACGAAGACTTCGAACACAACCAAGACAGCAGCTTCAGCGAGGACGAACTCCTCCCAGCACGAAGCAGCAGCGTGTCAGAGAGTGCCTCGACTCCCGGTCAGTGCCCGCAGACTCGAACCTCAGATTGTCACACATGCTAAAATGATAGCATGTATATTTATTACTGTTTGGGGTGGTGTTGTGTTCAGCTCCAGTGCAGTGTGTGCTAGATAAGGACTCTCTGGTGGACGGACTCAGAGTATTGATCCCGATGGACGACCAGCTACTGTACGCAGGACATGTGAACACTGTACACTCCCCTGACATGTGAGTACGCATTAGCCGACTTGTAAGTAGAGGGAAAAACATGTGAGACGTTTGAACACCTTCTTAGCTTAACATAAAAGTTTGAAGCGAGCTTTCTCAGTAAAAGTTGTAAACACAAGAAAAGCCTAAAAGTTCATGCTGTCCTTCACGTTTTCCAAAGTCGTCCAGTGGCCCGAATTGGGATCTTTACCAGGCCAATTCTTGCCCTCGGGCCTTATGTTTGACAGCCCCTGCTTTAACCACACACATGCATTCACACAAACATGGAAAAACATGACATTTCACTGATGAATTTTTGACCCACTCCCACTGTCGACATGAAATTTCACATCTGTGTTAATTTGGATCCTGTATGGTTATGTTAGACAGATATTTTTGACCCTGTGGTTGTTCTTGCTACAAATAAGTACCACCAAAACCACATTTTGCCACAATGACACTCACACAAAGTGAAAACAATAGTAAAGAGAGTGGGTTCCTCTATCTGCTACACTTCAAGCTCTATCAAGATATGGCCTAAGCTCTGGTTCTGACAAAGAGACCACTCACACTACCAAGAATGCTGCTGTGGCTCAGGAGACTGTCTGACAGTGTTGTTTAAAGCAATGACCCTTGCTCGATGACCCCAAGCTTTTGACCAACTCCCCTTTTCCCACAGATACAGTGTGGTGGTGGAGGGGGAGCGAGGAAACCGACCGCACATCTACTGCTTGGAACAACTACTCCAGGAGGCTGTGAGTATCTATGTGAAATATGTGAGGTGTAAAGAGTAGCAAAAATAAAAGTATTGTGTTCATATGCAAAGGGAAGTATGAAATAGTTTAATGCTTTAGCTTGCCATATAAGAGTTCCTACTTCTGTGTGTACAGATCATTGATGTGAAGCCTCCATCCGTGCGCTATCTCCCTGAGGGCACCCGCATCGCTGCCTACTGGAGCCAGCAGTACCGCTGTCTTTACCCCGGCACTGTTGTCAACGGTGTGACAAGAGCACAAACAGCCACCACTTCAATGATAGGATTCATAAGCAAGTTACATTGTTGCCAGCAGCACAAACAAATGCAAACGATCTTAGCAGAGCTGCACTTTCATTGTAGGGATGTTACTGTCTTGGAGATTGTAAAGGAAACGTAACTGGTCTGGATTCTGTTCTTGACTTCAGATCGAAACATGCTACATCAGCCCTTTTTAATCTAATCTAACCAGATACAATCGTTCCTGCTGACCTGCGCATTTTCGTTTCTTCCAAACAGGAAGTTCAGACATCGATGAGAATGACGATCTCATCACGGTGGAGTTTGACGATGGCGACACGGGCCGCATCCCTCTCTCACACATCAGACTGCTGCCGCCAGACTACAAGATCCACTGTGAGCACGAAATATGCACACAACACAGTGTGAAAGGTTTAGCACCAGAGACACTCAGATTAGTCTTGGAGAATGAGAAGGGGGAGTAAAGGGGAGCAGTGAGAAAAACGGGGACCATGAAGCACATTGCTCCCTAAAAAAACTGAACATATTTAATGATCACCGAGTCCTAATCCCCGTGTTTCTCTTTGGGAACTTGTAATAAGCAAGGTGCTTCCAACACTTCCTGAGGGGATGAAGACAGTAGAGTGTATGCTCATACATAACAGTATCCTAAACATCTTAGCCCAGTTTGCACATTGCAGACAACCAACATGAGCCCCCAGCCCCCTGAAATCTCCTGCATTCATTATTAAAAGTGTGAAAAGCACAAACTTTAAACCCTTGTCTTCTTCTGTAAAGGTGCCGAACCATCCCCGGCTCTGCTCGTGGCCAGCTGTTCCAGGAGGAGGGTCCGCAAATGCAGCAAAGAGGGTAAAGAGGCGGGAGCAAAGCCAGAGGAGACCACACCCAAGATCAAGGGAAAACCTGGTCGCAAACCCAAACCCAAACCAGGTGAGCCAAACAAAGTACTAATACCATCACATTGTCTCGAACTCCTCAACTTTCTGCTTTACTCTGATAGAAAACTTTTATTCCCAAAGCTGAATGTCTCTGCGTACATTTTTACATGCTTGAGACTTTTTGTTTATCAGAGATAATAACAGAAACACTTCTGTGTGGTTTCTTTCTGCATTTATGAGAGAGGCCACTTTCGATGAGTCACGTTTTTAAAACAACAGAACCAGCAAAAATAGCTTGAGGTTCAGAAGTGTCAGACATCTCTAGTTTGACCATGTGTGTCATCTCTGATGTCAGTTTAATGAATTTACTCAAACTGCTGCTGTGCTGTTCTGTGAAGCTCGCAGCCTGTAGCTTTAACTGTAATAAAAAGCACACCGCTTGTCCGATTTGCTGACGCTGCCACGTTTTGACTGGGTAAGCAGTTCTTAGATGTAATATTTTCATTTTAGAAACGTTTGCTTGCTGATCTGTCTACCCTGCTCAGCATGACGAGCTGCAGACAACAAAAGTCACGAAGCCACACAATGGAAATGTCAGCAAATGCGGAGTAAAGCAGGAAATAAAATTACATTTGTATTGTTTTTCCTCTTTTCCCCACAGAGAGCTCCATGAACTCAGACGGTCGGGAGAAAGCTGATCCTCCACCTTCCTCCACCCAGCCAGTTGAAAGACCCCAGGCTCCAGCCAAGCCCGCCCAGGAGCGACCCTCCTCTGTCCAGAAACCAGCTCAGGAGAAACCCCGCCCTGCATCCCGGCCAACACTGAGAACCCAAACAAAACCAGGCCGAAAGAGCTCTGCTACATCCCCAACAAGCAGCCCTACGCTTTCCAGTCCAGTGCCCAGGAAGAGCAGTCCGGCGCAGCCTCCAGCTTCTAAAGCAGCTCGTTCTCTCCCTCCCTCGCTCTACCCCTCCACCTACGGTAAGGTCCTGACTGTGGATCTGTACAGCGAGCCAAACCTCAGCTCGTACAACAGCCAGCGCAGAGAGAGGGAGAATAACAGCAATGTCAGTCCTACTGCAAACAGGCCAATGTCTAGGCCCAGTATAACTGCTTCGTCTACTGCATCCAAGCCTGCTGCGTCATCCACACCCAGACCTACTTCTAGTTCCTCGCCTAAAACCAAACCCTCCTCAGACCATCACAGCAGCTCTAGACCCAGCCTAAACTCGGGACTCATGCCCAGCCCCATTTCTAGGCTGTCAGCAGGCAAAACCAGCTCTTCTCTGACTCCCAGACCTTCATCATCATCTTCAATATCGTCATCCTCGGCTCCCAGACCTAAAATCAAGATGCCGTCCGACCAGCTGTCGTCCAGGCCGAGCTCCATCTCCAGGCCCAAGACCAGCTCTGGGCAGGGTGATGTGAGGCGGAAGTCTCTCTCCGCAGAGCCCCTCGTGAAGCTCGACCACGAAGGAGTCACCTCCCCTAAAACTAAGAAGACGAAGGCTCTGATGTTGCTGGAAGGTCGTGAAGTTAGGCGAGACCACACCCCCATTAGCACAGCCACAGCCAATCAAAAGCTACTAAAGCCTAAAGTGAGAGCTCCGGGTAGTGAAACTGGTGTGCCAGACAAGGACTCAACCTACAAAGCTCCATTGATGGCTAAAGAGAAGGCAGACAGTCGTGGAGGTAGAGGACAGGAGGTGGACACAAGAGAGGAGAAAGGTAAAAAGGAGGAGAACAAGGAGGTGGAGAAGAGGGAGGGAAGAAAGATGAAAGAGGAATCGCAGAGCAGCAGCAGCTCAGACTCGGAGGAAGAAGGAGAGAAAGGGAAAATCAAGAAGAAGAAGAAATGCACCTCAAGTTGCTCTTCATCGTCTTCATCCTGCTCTGGTTCTTCCTCATCTTCTTCCTCATCGTCATCTTCATCATCATCTTCGTCGACTGACGACTCCTCCTGCAGCTCAGATGAAGAGAGGACTCCTACACCTCCACCAGCCTCAGTCCAGAAGCCTCCAGAACAAGATAAACCTAAAGAAGAAGCAAAAGAAGAAGAAGAGGAGGAGGAAGAGGAGGTGAAGAAAGAGGTTGAGGTGAAAATGGAGGAGGAAGAACTGTCTCCACCACCGCAGTCTCCCTCCCCTTCAACCTCTCCAACAGCTGCTGCTCCTGCTCCCTCTAAACCGGCTAAGCCAGCCACCGGAAAGGGCTCCGGACAAAGGGGTCGTCCTCCAAAACCAAAGCCCAGTGGAGGAGAGGGGAAAGCGGGGAGGCCAAAGAGGAGAGAGGGGGTCCACCTTCCCACGACTAAGGAGCTGGCTAAACGTCAGAGGCTTCCAAGTGTGGAGAACAGGCCCAAAATTTCAGCTTTCCTTCCTGCACGACAGCTCTGGAAGTGGTTTGGGAAACCCACTCAGGTGAGGAGAAAAATCTTTTTCTATCATGTAGGAAAAAAATTAATGAAATGTCGATATCGCTGTTTTCACTCTGTGACCAACATGTCCTTTGTGGCCCCTCCAGAGACGCGGTATGAAGGGCAAGGCAAAGAAGCTCTTCTACAAAGCCATTGTGCGTGGCAGAGAAATGATCCGCATCGGGGACTGTGCAGTGTTCCTGTCCGCCGGCCGCCCCAACCTGCCCTTCATCGGTCGCATCCAGAGCATGTGGGAGTCCTGGGGCAGCAACATGGTGGTCAGGGTCAACTGGTTCTATCATCCAGAGGAGACGAACCCCGGCAAGAAACTCACAGACAAGAAGGTAGAAGTTTGTGCTCAACACTGATCAAAGGTTTATAAAGAAAGACAGCGTTAATGTACTACACTTTTGTTCTTTTCTTTTTTATATAGAGGTTTATAAAAATGTGTAAGTGTTTGAGGAGCTTCCAGCTTTGTGTCCTAAGTGTAAGATTGCTTCCTCTGCAGAACTGGGATCAGATATGCGGTCAGTCTTTACCAGCAGCTCTGCACTCTTCCATCCAGAGGAAAGACTTTATGGAGGTGAGGAAAAGTTTTATCTCTGAACTTCAGACTTCATATTCTACTGCTGCTTATTCCAGTATGGGCAAACTGACAAAGTGTACTTAAATGGATTCACACCCAGGAAAAATACAACTGAATACAGCCATAAATAATCCTGTTGGTTGGAAAAGGAAAACTTCATACAGTGTTCTTTCTTATTTGTAATAAAATAACTTTCTATAAAAAAAAATTCACTACTATTTGGTCTTGCTACATGTTTTGCATGCTAGTCTTGAGCCACTGCCGATCTGTATTAGCCAGAACACAATGTTTAACACCAGCTGTAATCCCAAAGCTAGTCCATTATAGCTAGCATGCTAACACTAACTTTCTTTGCTACCTTACTGTAACTGAGAGATCAATAATAATCGTTTTTTTAGGACAAAATAAAATGGCACTAGAAAGAAAAGACAAGTTATATAATAACTCACCGTCACGGCAGATGGCTCCCCCTCCCTGAGCTGGGTCCTCTAGGAGGCTTCTTCCTGTCAAAAGGGAGTTTCTCCTTCCCGCTGTCACAAAATACTTGCTCAAACGGTCTGATTGTTGAGGTTTTCTCTCTATTATTGTAGAGTCTTAACCCTTAAGTCTAGCATGAGCCACTGCTGAACTCAATAACAGACAAGTATTTGATTCTTGGGCTCTTAGCTGTAGAAGTAGTGGCTCGTTTTCTTCAGTCAGGGTGATGAGCCTTTGTTGTTATTTACCATTTATGTGTTAGTGTTGACTTGTCTGATGAATGTGGGCTACAAAAGCAGTAAACACAGCCTGTGTCTGTCGCAGCGCGCCCTCTACCAGTCGTCTCACAGCGACGAGAACGACGTGCAGACGGTCAGCCACAAGTGCCTGGTGGTGAGCGTGGAGGAGTACGAGCAGATGACCCACACTCGCCGCTACGCCGACAGCGAGGACCTCTACTACTTGGCCGGCACCTACGAACCCACCACGGGGATGATCTTCAACACCGATGGAGTTCCAGTCATCTGCTAAAAAAAAAGAAAAAAGAAAAGAGAAACTCACTACGAGTTGATAAAACCAAATTGTGACCCGGCTTACTTTGGACCTCACTGGGAAGGAGTCAGTACCCAACCTGTCAAATCACTGATTTTCACTGGCGGTGGATCTTTTCACAGACTCCATGAACAGAACTGCTCTGAAACACTTTAAGTAAAACAAAAAAAAAGCAAAAAATTAAGAAGACAGTCATGAACAGCTACTACTACAGAAACTGGAGACACTATGTAGACAGTATTAGAAGAAACGCGTCTCTTGAAACATTTGCACACACGAACGTCATGAACACGCTTCTGTTTTCCTTGTTGTGTTCATGGGAAAGCTTTTCGAACACGCATGAACACTTCGGTCTCCTTTTACAAGTAAATGCACCCTGTCTAAAGAGACACACGTACGCTCACGCGTGCACAAAAGCAATGTAAATACAGACGCCATGTGACACAGTTATATAGAGGACAATAATGAGTGTTTTTATTTTCATCTAATAGATTTATGTCCGAGTACTTTTTTTCTAAAGAGGTAAACAGTCAAGAAGCTTTAATGAACTGTGAATGAAGATGCAGGAGATGCAGGCCTGTGTCAGTCTGTCCACCCCCAAACCTGCCCCCCACCCACCCACACACGCTCCGGCTAAACGGACAGACGGACCCTGCTGGTGTGATGTTGTGATTATGTTGCTGTGGTGATGTTACAGTCATGTTACAGTTATATAAATGTATCTACAGAACAGCAGGAGCGACAGACAAAGAGAGAAGGAGATGCACAGAGAGAGGTAGACTCCTCCTTACCAGAGAGCACCTAAAAAAAAAAACACTTAAAAATCTATCTGTCTTTAATTTAAACGCCCCTCCTCCTCCCACACAATCCCCCTTGACAATCCTAACTTGGGCAGACAAAACTGCCCGTGTGCTTCTAAAAACGTCCTGCTCCCTCAGAGACTCAGGCTAAAGAGAGAGGAAGGATCTTGTACTATTAAAAGCACTTCTCATTTTCATCTTTGAGCTCCTTGTTTTTAAAGAGGGGGGGAGACGAAAAATCCACCCCGAAAACACGCAAACACTAGAAAACAAAAGCAGCTGCTGTGGAAGTGTGCTGCATTTTGTTGTTTGCCCGTTTTGTTTCAACGCTTGGAGAAGTGGACCCCACAGGAGGCGCAGACATGAGATGTGGTGCCTTAAAGGCCTGTCTGGATTTTTTTTTTTTAAATAAAAGCATCCTGGGAAATGTAGGCCACCTCTCTTTTTACTTTACAAACAAAATGGGTAACCAAGAAAAAAATAAACCACAACACTTGATGAAAAAGGAGATCTGTGAATGCACTGCACGATATAAGCTAATGTATCAGCAGTGCAGGATTCCCAATGGGTGGATTTTTTTCCCTCCTCCTCCTTTGTTTTTTTTTGGTTTAGTTTTTTTTATTTAGGGTTGTGAGCGCTGCAGCCGGTCTGAGAAGCATCAAGGTCATGCCTCTGATATTCGCCACGGAGCTGCCAGCACTCGTTAGATCAACATAATTCAGTTTTAACACTCCTCTTCCGCAGTCTGCAGCGTTTGCAACCTCCAAATGTCCTGCGCTTGGATGCATCTTATTTTATTTTTTACTTTTGCTTCCGCTGTTTTATGGATGTTCATCGTTTTAGCCTCTTTAATCACATTTTGCCCTCCAAGCAATCATCTTTAACAAGAGTGCACTTTGAATGAGCTCCGCTGCAGAGGAGAGTCTTGTATGTTTTCTTAAAGTATTTACTACCCCCCCCCCCCCCAAAAAAAAAAACTCCCGCTGCTGTCACCGTCTCTTCTCTGCACGCCACCGTTCCCCCGTCAGAAACAAGCAGCGACACATTCGTCTTGTTTTGACGTTGTTGTTTTTTTGTTGTTGTTAATTCTGTGTGCCTCGTTTCACCGTTTTTTAGTGGGAGACTGTTGAATGTCGTGCTCAGGATTGTGAGCATTTTGAGAGGCCTTACTCTCCCAGGCCTTATGATGATGATGATGATGATTATGATAATTCGCCAAATCTTTTACACCCCCCCCCCCCCAAGTCCTGCACCTTCAGGAGGAATAATCAGATATGCTCCCAGTCTGCTGGGAAAACGCCTTCTTTATGATCGTGTTTTGGTTTTGCAACCTATCCAACCGACCCGGAGCTCTTAACAGACTTACTTTGTTGTGTATAATTTGTATTGGATATAACCGTATCTTCTGCATACAGTATATCAGTGTATGTATACATGCAGTGTATGGTAGCTGTATGCTGTATAAACATGTAGGTTTTAAACATGTTGCCCTCTCTGCTTTGCTGCAGAGTTTAAAAATTGTCTTGTTGATATTCAATAGGTTTAATATTTTCTACTCTTGTTGAGCTCTTATGTCTAGATTTGTCTAATTTTTATCGTACCCTATATATCATGTTTTAAGTCACTCTGGAGGACAACCCCACATGTCCCTGTTGTTAATGTGGCAGCAGTGCCAGCACAGTAACAATTCCATATGCATTTATATATATATATAATCCAGATGTGATAGCCACAGAGTAAAAGAGAAAGTTTGATAATGTGCTGCTAGTTTATTGGTATTTAAAAAAAAAATGAATCGGGTACAGAGTGAGTCCATGTGCCACTTTCTGAGATTGCTAACATCTTATCTGCTAAAGCCCCACCTGCTCCTGTCGGTTCATTTCAGACTAAAACTCGATGCATTTCCGCAGATAAACGTTTTTAAATGACAGGCAGGCCGAAAGTGTCTCGGCTCGTTGGCGTTTGGATATGTGGGAGCATCGTGGATACACAGGTCGCACCGGTGTTTGCAGAGTGAACAAGCTCCCTATTAAAGTGCCCGTTATGAATGTTTGTTTACCCCTGGAGCTGCTCAAGCACTTTTTTCTGTGTGTGTCTGTGTGTGCGCGTGTGTGTGTGTGTGTGTGTGTGTGTGTGTGAGAAGGACAGAGGTAAGGAGACTGATAAGACATCAAGCTCTTATCTCCTGCTGTCACCACACACACACACACACACACTCTTACACACCCTTGTAACCCTTAAAGGTGTGTTTTATTGCCTTCCAATCTCTATCCAAAGCCCAGCCTTAGGCCTTCATACAGGGTCCAACACAAACACAGACACACACTTATTCCCCGTTTCGCCTTCAATCTTTCTTTTTGTTTTTATTTTTCTGGTCATACATTTTAAGGGTCTGGCTTTGTATATGTTCTGTTTATCATTGTTTGTCTTATTTCGGCTTTGTACTTGATTATTTGCTGTGATTGCTTTTTTGCATCCCCCTCCACACCCCCACACCCTTTTTTTTTTTTTTTTTTTTTTTTTTTTTTTTTTTTTTTTGTTATTTTTTTTTTTTTTTTTTTTTTTTTTTTTTTTGCACGTTTCTGTCCCGTCCCCCCCCCGGCTTCCCCTCTCTGAACAATCGTCCACGCCTCTCAAGCAATACTGCTGACTGGCACTGGGAGCTAGCTGCTAGAGAGAGAGAGGAATGGGAGAGAGCGAGCAAAAGAGAGAATGTGAGAGAGAGAGAGAGAGAGAGAGAGAGAGAGAGGTGGACTGGAGGCTGGTTCTTCGTCTGCTGTTCCTTCAGTATCGTTATCGTCCTGTTACAGAAAAGATTATTTTGAAAATAAATAGAAAAATCATCTAAGTTTTGTAAATGATCCTTCACTGTCGGGGGGAGAAAAAGCTATCAGAATATACTTTGTACACATGTCTAATCTTGTAAAAAATGCAAAAAGAATACATTTTAGAGAGAAATCTGAAACCTGATATATTCTGTCACCCTATACTGTATGTGTAAGGAACTGTTCTTTTTTTCTCTTTTTTTACAGACAGCAACCACGTTTATCAGTGTTTCTTTGAAATTGTTTTAGTAACTCAATATTTTATAGGCAATCAATAAACAGATGGAACTGTATGTCTCTGACTCTCTGATTTGAAAACAGTGTTTTTCATTTGACTAAAGGTGCAGACGCTCGTGTTCTGGAGCTGTTTAATGTTTTCCGACAAATTGATTCATTTTTAGAAACTTAGTTCATTTACAAAGCATAGCAACAGGCACTGCTTCGTGGAAGCTGCCATGTTGTCCCGCCATCTTGAATACGGTGGCCAAAAGGGACATCACAGTTCAGGTTAGACTCGAGTGATTTGATTACATTCTCACATCGAGTATTTTTTGCTAACATCCACTTTAAAGGAAGTTTTACTAACAGCGGCATTTACTCACAGAAACATTCAGGATGTCCTCAACAACTCACCTCTGTACCTCTGTCACCACCATCGATACCAGTTCAGTATCAGTATTGGAGTCCTTTCCCATAGTTTTACAGCCTCCTCCGTGGTAAATAGACATGAATACTTTTTACCTGGCATATTGACACCTGAGGTAAACGGTGGGCTGATGGCCTACCCAGATAGCAAAATAATCCAGGACAGATCTGATGCAGAGTCACGTTTCTCCAGAGTACACTCCCTACAGATAAACAGTGGCCAGAGTTTTTAATAAAAACTAATAATAAAAATATTAAATTTTTTAAATTTCTGGTTATCTGCTGAGTGCTGATATTATTGAAATACTGTTTATTTTGTTTTTTGTTTTTTACACAAACAGTAATAGAAACACGACGGCAACCCGTGGTAATTATGCGATACAATCTAAATGTAATATTGTGACTAAACCATGTTTGTCCTACAGTGGCCACCTTAGATAGGATTATGCACTTAAATTAGAGGGGTAAGAAAACAAAACTTAGTTGACTGCAATCTACTGACATGTAGTAGTGAGATTTTATACACTGTACCTTTACAGGGAGTGCAGAATTATTAGGCAAATGAGTATTTTGTCCACATCATCCTCTTCATGCATGTTGTCTTACTCAAAGCTGTATAGGCTTGAAAGCCTACTACCAATTAAGCATATTAGGTGACGTGCATCTCTGTAATGAGAAGGGGTGTGGTCTAATGACATCAACACCCTATATCAGGTGTGCATAATTATTAGGCAACGTCCTTTCCTT